TTTTAATTCAATTAATTTCATTATGAATTAACTTGTACTTTAACTAAGTGAAATTTTTAGGCTGTTAACTTTAACTTAACTTAGTTAAAAAAAATTAACTTACCCAACCCTGTTTTTATAAGTGGAAATAATATCATTTATTTATTTTTAGATCTATTTTCCTTCTAAAGATTTAAAAAGATATTTTTTAAAAAGTATTTATAAATAAAAAGATTTTTATTTATTATAATAAACCAATTATAAAGCTGATTCACAGAAGAATGACACAGCCATTAATATTATAATTTATAAACGTTTATAAATCTTTATTCTAATTTAAAAAATAAAATATGTAAAATATGTCACATAAAAATAACATTCAATGTTACATTTATATCAAAGATATATTTACATAATGTTACTCTAACGTAAAAAAGTTATATTACAATATACAGGGTGTCTCGTACTCAATGGTACAGCGCTTGTGGGGAGGTAATGTGAACCAAACTGAACAAAAAAGTCCTCTACCATTTTGCGATCTTCGCAATAGTTTTCGAGATATTAATATATAAAGCTCGTCGAATCTGAACGCGCGGCGAGATACGCTCGCCCGCCGCCGACCGCAGTCACCACCCCCCGCGCGTCTAGTTGGCGGCGCGTGGTGGGGGTAACTGATTGTCTAGCGCATACACAACACAAAAAGTTGCAAACTCATGTGGAACCTCGTTTCGCGTTGTAAAGTATATGCATAGAAGCAGTATTTCCGCTTCCCTCCTACGGAGGGCTTCACCTAAAAAAAACTAACCTAACCCAAACTATTTCTTGGTATGAGATGGACCTCGCATTGCATAAAAAGTTGCAAACCCATGTAAATCCTCGCTTCGCGTTATAAAATGAATACTTGTCAGCAATATGTTTCATCCTCTCCCCCCCTACGGGGGAGTTCTACTAACAAAAAGACCTAATCCAAGCTATTTCTTGGACTTCGCTTCGTATAAAATTGTGTGGTCCAGTCGTTCAGTAGCCAATCGTGCAGTGTCCAATTGTGCAATGTTCAATCGAGCGGTATCCAATCGCGCAGTGTCCAATTATAACGTGATCAATCGGGATCTTTCCGTTTTACTCTAGGAGTTTATTGTAGTACGTGTTCACGAACCGAAAATCGTGAAGTCCACCGTAGTACCGACGTAACATTCACAAAGTTAGAAAGATGCTTAATTGCATTGAATTTGATAATTTAATTATGATATTATACGTACTATTCAATACTTTAGAGCGGTTTAAAGATCGATGATTATGCAGCGCACAGTGTGCTTGAAATTGTAAGTTAATAAAAACGTTAAATACCAAGAGAGTATTAAGCACTGAGATCCGGTTTTAATTATATTAGCATTTTCATCTTATTGTTGTTTAAAATAAAAACATTTCTATAATATAATTTGAACTGAAACTATCGATTGAGCCTACTTACAATTTGATCGATTGAGTCGTTATTGAGTTCTCGTATTTCACCGGTTTACTTATAATAGCCACGCAATCATCTTGCGACGTCTACATATTTGCCGCGAAACACTACTTTGTTTCCTGATGCATAATATATTTTTTTTTTATTCCATTAAATAGCTTTTAATAATTAAAAGATTAAAAGGGCCAATCACAGGCTATACATTTATATATCAAACATCACTACTTGAAATTAAAAAATCACAAGTATTTTCATTATTTAATTTTTTACAAACTTTTATGCTAATACAACATTATTATCTTCGAATTATTATATAATTTGTATATATGCATATATTTCAAATTTGTGTTAAATAATGTGAAAAATCCCTATACATATATAATTTTTGTTAAAATGCAAACATAATTGAATTTTTATCCTCTATATTAACTCCATTTTGAATCTATCAATTTTGATGTCTAATTTGTATTAAGCGTTCTGAAAATCCTTAATTTTAAATAAACTTAATTTTAAATAAATGAAAACATTTAATAAATCGTCAGTAATCTATAATAATTAATTCATGATTTTTCTACAATACATTCTATACTTAATCATAAATTTTAATCATAATCGATATAAAAAATTCTTTTTAAGCGCTGAAATTCCAAATAATATACTTAATTTTAATTACAATAAAACTTCTTCAGCGCGTTATATGTCGTAGTTATAATAAAATACATAAAATGTTTTTGCAAAATGATTAAAATGTTCTTGTTTTATAACTTTAATTGTACATTTCTTAAAATTGTGACGTGATAGAGCAATTTGGCCAAATGTTTTTTGTAATCAAAAATCTATAAGAAATGTCTATTGTAATTAGAATTACTGGATATTAATTGTTTTATCAGCTTATGTAATCAATATAAATAGAATACATTTTTTTAGAATTTTGTCTCTTATATTTTAAAAATAAGAAACTATGCGAATATAAATTTAACTATAGTGTTTTTTGTTCTTTTATATAGAACGAATTTACCCGCAAAAATTATGAATTTTCCGGATTATATTACAATGGAAGGACGAGAACCCAGTTGCGTGAGCCATCAAGAAGTTTTGAATTATTTAAAAGATTACGCTGACCATTTTAATTTACATCGATATATTCAGGTATTTCCATTATAATTTAATATATTATATAATTTCATTATATTTTACAATTAAAAATATGAGAAAATGCTATTTTTTAATCCAATAATTAATTTCTATTCTTTAGTTCAATACAAAAGTTGAGCATGTTCGATTTGTGTCATCTGATTGCACTCGAGATAAATGGTCCGTACAAGTAAGAAAACTAAAAACAAATAAAATGGAATTACGTTATTTTGATGCCATTATGATTTGCAATGGGTAAGAAGCTACACATATAGCATTAGAGACTATCGAAATTTACAATACTGTACAAACAATATTCTAATCTTTTTTAGACATTATTTCGATCCTTATATACCAACTATAACTGGTATTGACAGTTTTTCGGGTATAATTATGCATAGCCACGCATACCGAAAACCTGATGAATTTTCCGGCAAAACTGTATTAATACTGGGTGCGGGTTCATCTGGCATCGATATAGGAATCGATTTATCTAATCAAGCGACTTGCGTATATTTGAGTCACAATCATGATAAGTGAGTGATTAATTTATTCATGCTTATAAACAATTCTAAAAATTAATAAGTATCAAATTGGCTCATATAATTAAAAATTAATAAAGTATCAAAAGAAGGGCTAGTGAGCCTTGCACGGAATTAGTACTGTGATATAAAGTATATTTAATATACTAATTTGCACCCAAACGTTTCGGCTCTGCATTGAGCCATCCTTATTATCAGTGGGTAAGAATACAAAATTTCACTAATACATTATATTTATTAATTGTCGTTCGTTCGTTGTAAGATTGCTTGTTGTAAAATCGCTCGAGATAGGATCGTTCCTTGAAAGATCGAAGTATGTAATGTGATCCGGTACATTGATAAGTTTCTTAGTCCCTGTTTTCTATATATAAGAATAGGTTTCAATCTTGTCATAGGAAATTATAATCTGTCCTGAATTTATTGTATTATTAATTTACAATAAATTCGCAGAACAGATTGTAAGTTTCCTATGACAAGATTGAAACCTATTCTTACATATGGGAAATAGGAAGTTGGGTATCTGAATGATATAAAATCGAGCAAAAAAATGCATACACTTTATGCACTTATGCATCAAATGCACTTATAGACATCGCTATTACAGCATTGTGATTGGAAAAATATAAATTTTTTTGCAAAGTAGGCATTTTCCGATAATATTCATATAATTAAAAGAAATAATAATTTATTCCTACAGAAATGTTATCCGTCTGGTAAAGGATACACTGTATAAACGTCTCTGTCAGTACAAAAACGTTTCCTGATCATCATGTAGCGAAAAAATATACTTGGCGAGAGCCGCTACCGCGTCTCCTGATATCACAGCATTAATTCCGTACAAGGCTCACGTGCCAGCCCAACTTTTGATACTTTATTAAATCTTTAAATATATATAATATTAGAAAGAGAAAAAAATCAAAATTAATTAAAAATTTTCCCTACTTTTACCTGGAATATTTGTGCTCTACAGATTAACAAGTTCTTTACCATCAAATATGATACAAGTTGCGGGTGTTGAGAGCATACATGAAACCACATTTTATTTAAAGGATGGAACAACTATTGATGCTATTGACGTTTTTCTTTTTTGTACTGGTTACAAGTACAATTTTCCTTTCTTAGATGAGAACTGTGGTATACAAGTTGACAGCAACTATGTAATACCACTTTACAAACACTTCGTCAATATAGAGCATTCTTCAATGTGTATCATCGGTATACCTACAGTCGTTGTGCCGTTTCCCATGTTTCATATGCAGGTATTTCACACTATTTAACAAAGCGATAATTACTTTTGCACAGAGTTAGGTGAGTTAAGGCGATCCTAAACTGAAATCAAACTTTAAAAATGTCGCTGTTTTACCGACGATTTGTGAGTATGCATGCGTGCGATATTGATGTAGTAGTGCGTATAGCAATGTGTTCATGTTTACTACCATATATCGGTATCGCATGCACACATCATAACAAATTTTCAAGAACATACATCTTTTTTATTAGGCATTTAAGAGGATGCTGAAAGGTCGGCCAAATTTGTACAAGGTCGATAAAGCAGACTTTTCAGTGTCAGTGGTATCTTTAAATGAACTTCTTACAATATCTTCTGGTCTCACTCAAACACGTGGAATGTCCA